CAACTCGCAACCCCATCTGTCTATCATCTTATTATGGATTGTCCCAACTTCTTACCACTTCTCCAGTTTCTGCCCGAAAAACTGCCTATGGGGACGAGGGGGGGGGGAGGTACATAGAGCACAGAAAAAAAACGAACTAAGGCTACTGTGTCGCCTCCCCCCCATCTCGCTGAGGATCGCCAACGTACGACGTGGCCTGGATACTATGCAAATTCTGGCCTCTTTGAACACGATTGCAGAAATGCGGACCTATACTGGACTTTGGCCCATTTGGCCCGTTTTGAAATTATATTTTTATTTACATGCTTGTTTTAGGCTGAATGAGGGCAATCCCTATGAAACGTTATTCTCACTAATCGGCAAAGCAGTTACGCCTTACTTCAAGTCTTTCATCAAAGAGAGCGGTCGAGGTGAACGTGACGGTGACAAATTGGCACCAACAGTTGAAAAGAATCTCAATGAGGCTGAGGTTTGTTGTATGCCTCATGTTAGCTTGGCCCTGTTCAGTTATCGCTCTCCTCGAGTAATTTTTCTGTTCTGAGTTTGTCTTTCAAAATTTATCCTTTACCCTGATGACATGTGTTTCATTGTAAGTGCCGGTGCCGCACTGAGCCAAAGTGAAGTAGGAACCAGCTTGGTGAAGCGGCTTCGCTTCATTTTCTTTCTACCCACACTAGGAGCGCGTTCGCGATCTGTTCGCGCAATCCAAGCGATCCTACCACGAAGTATAAACCCGCTCCAATCAAGTTTCGTGATTACAAATATAACTCAATGAAGAAGATTGCTATTGCACGCCTTGATGGTACCGGCGTCAGGGTGAAGCCACCGCTTCCTTCCCCTCCCCCCCTCAATGCACCCCTCGCGTGGAACAGCACCATGAAGTTACTCTTAACTGTGCAAATATGAAAGCTTTAGGTTGCCTTGCTACATCTTCAACAAAACATTGACATTCCTGAAATTAACCTTGTAATCAATCCACATATCCAAGCTGCAATTCAGAAAGCTAACAAAGAAGGCCGAAAGGCAAAGGTATGCGATTTTTTCATTTTTTCGAGTGCAAAACTGTTCAGAAAACTCCAATTCAGGTAACCGATTTGGGTGATCTTGTTGAAGATGCACAGTTTTTGAACAGTCTCCAGTCTGGAGTGAATAGATGGATCAAGGAAATACGGAAGGTTTGTTCTCTGGTGCTTGCCGGGGGGGGGGAGTGTTGAAGGTTATGCATTGTATATTTACATGTGTTCCAGAGGTAACAAAACTGGAACGTGATCCCGGCTCAGGCTCATCGCTACAGGAAATGACTTTTTGGCTCAATTTGGAACGTGCTTTACAGAAAATCCTTCAGAAAAGAGAATCTGAAGAGGTGAGTGTTTCGTGATTCGGAAAATTCTAGAAATGCACGCCTTTTCTTCTTTTCAGGTAACATTAACCCTGGAAGCCCTCAAATGTGGAAAAAGATTTCACGCAACGGTATCGTTCGATACGGATACGGGTGTGTATGGTTTTTTTTTTCTTGAAATTGTAACCTGAATAGGAATAATGGAACGACATCCAACATGCGCTAGGGTGTCGCAGGCAGGGTATAGCATCATGTTGTTGGGCGCTGTTCGGCTTGGAAGGGTATTTTGCACTTTGGCTGGTTCCATTTGTTAATTCATGTTAGCTAACGGGTCCCGTTTTGATGAAACCTGTAAACACTTCCAAAGCTGCGAAATGGTGCTAGTGATCCACTTTGTTCACTGGAATTTGCAAGTCTTTACAAGGTAGCCTGGGCAAACTTCGCTGAAAGCCCTTTGATGCTCCCACCAGACCGAAATGCGCCTAATGTTGAAATGCGGTGTATGTACAATCCCCCTCCCCCAGATTTCCTCATCTTGTATGACCTCCTACCCCATCCTACGTACCATCCTCCTGAGCTTCCCAACTTCCTATCAGTTTCACTGGAATTCTTTAGCGCTCCTCTCCACTCCTAGAGGGCATAGCGAACATGAAATGGATGAAAGCGCGAAAAGTCAGCAAGGGGAAAAAAATCTCTCGCAGCTCGAAAACTCCTTTTCTCGAAGGCAAATACGTCCCCCTCCACAGCGACCAAGTACGCCCCCGCCCGGGTGGGGACCCGGGCGATTCTATCGTCGGCAAGTCAGGCGACGCCGCACATGCCGCTGCGCGGCACGCCGCGACGCGGCAATCCCGGAGTTGCACTACCGTACTCCCGAGTTATCATTGGAGCAAAGCGTTAGCGTTGGTTCACGGCGTAACATGAAAGCATTGATTATTGACATTTTGTTGCGTGGCGTTGGGTGTATGTCGCTTGGCGCGGTTTTTCTTATCGCCCACACGTCAAATCCTGTCAGGCAAACGCAGCAACACAAACCACGTTACGCGGCGGCCGCCAACGCCCGCCTACGCTCCGCCCTCGGCGCCGACGGACCCCACGATAGAATCACCACGACACCCGCCCCGGGTGGATTGTCTCAATGGTGTTGTAGCCTGTTTGCAATAGTAGCGATGTGTGTGCAGCAGCTACATATGTTACCTGTACCCCCTCTTGTATTTCAGTAAGCATTTCAAGAAAAAGGCGGTCAAGACAGTCGTATTTTGCCCGTCCGTTGCGCGCGGTGGTGGGCGCAACGGAGGGGCAAAATAAGGAGGGGCAAAATAAGACTGTCTTGACCGTCTTTTTCTTGAAGGTGAGCGTTTTCGTGTTTTGCATTAGTCTGCCTACTGGAGCACCAGACTTCATGGAGACTGCGATATCTTATTATGGTTATTTTTAGTCATCCAAAGGGTACTGCCGCCATTTGTGACCTATAACATCGTCACATTTGCTGGCGCGATGTCGCACGCGATTCCCGCAAGCGGGCGAATTTCAGTTGTTTTGTCCCAGACACCCTAAAGAGTTGCTTGTTTTTACCTATCTTTTACCAGCAGCAATTACTTAACGTTTCGGTTGCCTTCAATAATCCTGGCGTTTCCATTGCCCCCATTAATATTGGCCTTATTAGCTTGGAGGTCTTCGTAATTTATCTCTTGGCTGTTCATTTTTGATACCTTATTGGCAATTACGATAAGAAGCGGTTTGCAAAGCGTTGAAAAGTGCTCATTTGCAGGTTTGAAACAAACACTGGCCTTAGTAACCGACTACAATTCTCTAATGAAAGATTTCCCATTAAATGAGCTGGTATCGGCTACAGACTTTGGACTCGATCAAAATTGCACTCGGTAATGTCTTCGGACATATGAAAAAGATAAGGTTCGTGACTCTTTTTGATGTTTTTATAGCTTCTTGCTTTAGCTTTTCAGCATTTCTATGACATTAGGGATCATCAGTAGTACTAGGATTCACTTTTCAGAGCTACTAAATATCCGGTCCAACGTGCTTTACGGTTTATTGAAGCGATTTCTCGTGATATGAACGGCCAAATACTAAAGGTATACCATTTCTGTTTGTTTTCGCTTTCCGTGCAGTTCGGCTTGGTGGGGGCATGTTGGCAGTTCCTTCCCTCACTGTGCAGTAACAGCAGCAGCTTCGTTCACACTTGAATCACAGGTTTTACCATGTGTAAACATGTAATCAAGCACGATCTCGCATTTGAAACCAGCGGAAGTGTCAACTGCCCCTCAAACCGAACGGCGCCCAGTTTTCTTTTATATTAGTTAAACCCAATAGCAAATAGTTTAGGTACTCGGTACTCGTCGTCTAATGCATATCTCTATTGTGGAATTTGATCAGCTTATGATGCAATGTATTCAACTGTTTAATAAATGGGATGATGAATATGACAGGTAATATTTAGTAGAAAGACAGCGCTAAGGGGGCGCACTGCTCTGGGAGAGTGTGGGAGGATGGGAGGGTACGCATTGCCTATTCACGCAGTCTGGTACCCCCCCCCCCCCATACTTCTTTGCTCTCGCAGAACACTAGCGGCCGCCGCCAGTCGATACCCCTCGACTGCTATTGAAGCGCTATTGCAGAGAAAGCGCGTCGACGCGCTTTTTCGCGAAGTCTAACCTGAAAAAGATGTCTTCGAGGGTTTAATGGTGTTATCATCTCGTCATGGGATGCTTTGCTTAGGCCGTGGACGGAGAGTGCAGCCGGAAGGTCGGGAAAGGATGATAAAAGGACACCAAATTGTTTGGGATGTTCATTTTAGGCATTCTTCTTAACTACCTCCCCCCCTTCCGTCCCTCCCTATCGAGATAGAGAATTATAGAAATTGGAATAGAGAGGAGTGTGAAATGAAGGCGAGGAAGATTTGTGAAGATGAGTGGATGCTAGAGTTGCCAATTCTAAATAGGGCTAGTGCATTGTTCCGTCCCCGACTTCATACAAACCATTGTTATTTCGCCAAACCTTCGAACTTATCAAGAGGTAGGTTTGACGGTTACAAGGGTGAGCTAGGGGAGGAGACTAGGGTGGAGTTGTGAAGATTAGCGAATACGATCCTTTCTGTGGATTCTCTCGATTCCACGGTCCTGTTGCCATTCTCCACATAGGCGGTGCCGTGCAAAGCGATCTGCACAAAGTCCTTTTTGCGGATTCTGACGACTCCGCGGTCTTACTGGCTAAGTGATTCCCTGTTCTCTAGACCGATACATATACATTTCTTCCACGAACTCTTGAGATCCCTTGTATATGCCAGCGGCCTTTGAATGGAGCTAACTTTTTGTACATAGTTCTAGCAGTAGTTTTTTTTCTTCAGATTCATCGCTCTTTTGCGTGACATTTCAAAGAAGAAACGTGATGAACCTGTGAAACTGATGTGGAAGGTGATGCCTCTGCACAAGAAACTCGAAGGACGTCTCGTACAAATAAAGGCATTCAGAAAGTTTGTTTCATAATATTTTTTTATCGTTTGATCTACACTAGCCAAAATGAGGCGCAGCCCGGCGACAGGGGGGGGGGAATGGGCCATTTTGCATTTTCTTCACTTCCCATCATTGTTTTCGTTTCCTCGCAAGAGCTGACAAGCAGTTTCAACAAACTTCGAGTAACATCATTTTATGCTCCACCAAAATACTCACAGATACTCCAGTGGAGTGGCGCATGGAGAAGTCAGCAGTGCAACAATGCCCCTACCGTATCCAAGCGGAACTGCAGCCTGATTTGGTTATAACGTGAACCCCATCCAATTCTTCAAAAAATTCTTAATCTCAGGCAGCACGAACAACTTCGAGTGGTTATTGCTCGCGTCCTTCGTCCTGCTGGAACGCCATCAACAGAGTCTCAGCCCGAAACTCAACCCCATGGAGGCGAATTGACCCCTGTAGACCAGGTCAGCGTGTTTTCTATTATTTGGTGATTCCCTTGGATTGTTTCGGTGTCGTGAAGCTTGGTTTCGAAATTACGAAGCTCCCATTAAAAAAAAATCATATATTTTTCTGGGACAGGGTACACTAAATATACTGGAGATGAAGTGGGCATGGCTGCATACACGTCAAGCTCTTTCTAGCATACATCATTGGGGGAGGTGGTTTCTTGTCGTCATTGGACAATTGTAATCAGGCAGAAGCCGGGATGACAATTGTTTCAAATGAAAGTAACCCACGAAAAAACTAGTGAAGGACGCAGTCAAGCCCTCTCTAGCTTTGGGACATGGGGTGTACTTCGGGGGTCCAGGCGACGGCGCGATTAAACCTATCATATCTTTTCTGGCTTACCTTGCCGCATCTTTCGTGACTTTTGCATTGGTTATGCTCCATTGTCCTGTTTGGTGCGTAGCCGCCGACAAGCAAACATTATGTGGTCTAGTTGCGCTCCTAGCATCCCGGAAAACCTTCACCTCCTTTTCTTCAGCTAAATAGGGTATCTTATCGGTTCAGGTCAACCTTGCATACGAGTTTGTGAAAGAAGTGGATTGCTTGGATGTGAGCATTGAAGGCACCACTGCCTGGGATGCTGCCCAGCGTAGGTATGCGATTTGAGCACCATTGATAGTTCTTTTCAACGCGTTTTCAAACGTACGAGTTTCAGGTACGAAGAGCAGATCGCCCGGGTTGAAACTGCGATTACATCGAGGCTCAGGGACCAACTAGGCTCGGCTCGAAATGCAAACGAAATGTTCAGCATCTTCAGGTTGGTTTTTGTATTCAAAGAGTAGCGCACCATTCATCATTGCGAATATCTTCCAGCCGTTTCAATGCGCTGTTCTGTCGCCCACAAATTCTTGGAGCAGTTCGCGAATATCAAACTCAACTTATTCAGAGAGTGAAAGAGGATATAGAGAGATTACAGGTGAGAAAGGCCCTGGGTTTTGTTTGTTTTGCAGTCCATTATACTTGCTTTCAGGCCAAGTTCACGAAACACTACGCTGAAAAACGTGGCGAAATTCTGACGCCGACGTTCGATATCCCGCCTGTGTCGGCAAACATCATTTGGATTCGTCAAATTGAAAGGCAGCTAACACTGTACATGCAAAGAGTTGCTTCAGTTCTAGGTACAGGATGGGAAAACCACGTCGAAGGTGGGTCTTGTCGTTATTTGTTGGGAACGGACATCATGACGCACGAAATTGCCGTACATTTTGCATTTATCATGTTACTTTTTGCATTTCCATTTCATTTACAATACGGTACTATTTTGTTGGTAATGCGCCGCTTTAGATGGCCTGCGTGTATTATGCTTCAAGGACCAAAATTGCTTAGACCAATCGCTTCTCACCTGAGTGTTTGCTTATAATAGCCCGTTCTGTTAGATAAGTGTTCAGTTAGGGTATTGTAATGGCGCAGGTCGCACGTCGACGTCTAAGATAGCCAGGATCATATGACATCATTAGTATTGGCTAGATGGTTCAAGGCTGCAAGATCACGAGGCGAAGAGGCAAGAAGCAGAAAACTTGTTGAAAGCAACTACGCGGATTGCATATTGTAGATGGTCCCGTTCATAAGGCCGCGTTCACATACATGATGGCAGAAATGCTGATACGCAAGCGGAAAGTGTGCAGAAACTGCGGAACTGGAAGAACCGCGGAACTTGCAGAAAAAAACAAGAAAATATGTCTATCGATTTCAAAAACCGTGGAATATGCAGAAGTGCGGAATTTGCAGAAATGCCGATGGACCGATCGATCCCTATCACTTCTTTGTCCGTCATTTCTGCATTTCTGCAAATTCCGCGGAATTTGCAGAAATGCGGTTTTCAAATCGATACGTATACATCTTCTGTCTGCATGTTCCGCAGTTCTGCATATTCCGCGTTTCTGCAACATGTATGAAGGCGGCCTACAAACGTAATCGTTGAGACTCTCGTGGGAAGACGAAAGCAAAATAGTCGTGGAAAACACCCTAGGTAACACCCCTGTTTAGCCTCGCTTTACGAGATCTCCGGGCTTACTCGCTTCACACCAAGGAACTCATATCCAATGGGAAAAAACAGAAAAACACGTGCGAAAACTGAGCTCGACAGACAATAGGGGCAGTTTGAGAGTGGAGTCAGGCTAACAACAAAGGACGCCTACGAACTCGCTACGCGCTGAGACCGTTTTATGGACACATTCCGCGCTGGTTTTGCAGAATACCCTTGCGACACTTCTTTAATTTTTCCATATTTTTCAGATTACAAGGTTCCCGAATCATTCACTCTTTCTCGTTTTAGCTCGCCAACTCAAATCGGAGGCAGATAACTTCCGAAAAGTGCTCGACACGCAGCCGCTGTTCGAGAACTGGGTGGAGCAAGGTTCTTGCGAAGGGAACCAATATGCCGGGACGTGTGAGTTATTTGAAAGCATTCCTCAAAAGTTGCAGTCTGGCTGAATCCGTTGTTTTTCGTTCTTCCCGCCAAGGGGAATGTCATATAATGGGAAGAGTCCCTGAACACGACCGCCTTGCCCCTTTCCCTTAATCAGCCCACCGTATTCTATTCCCAAAGATTTCCGTCGAACGGGCGAGGGATGGGTTGAACCCACCAGCTCTCTGTAAAGACAGGAATGAACGACATTGCTATGGACAGGGGTAAGTAGCAGAAGTAGAAGCAGGGAAATGAAAAAGTGTGTAGTGTTTCCCACTCCCATCCCCATTCCCGTGATTGTCCAAACGATCCATATATAATCCCTCCCCTTGTTAACCTAAAACGACCTCTTTGAGTAATTATCGGCAATAATGTTTCGTGTTCCCGACTGCCTCTTTCTTGATGTCTTACTTTTCTGCAGGTTTTCGTGATTGATCGACGATCTAAAGATGGAAAACCACATCTACATCTGAAAGTCAACTTCAGCCCTGAAAGTATTGTGCTGCACAAGGAGGTATCCCTCTAGCTCTTCTTTTTCTTGTGTTCTCATCCTTGATACCTGGCGCTTTGAATTTATTGTTTATTTCATGACTATCCGTCCTGGTCTTCCTAGGTACGAAATCTGAAGAACATGGGTTTCCGTATTCCATTGAAAGTGGTGAATGCAGCCCATCAAGCCAATCAAATCTATCCGTTCGCCATCAGCCTGCTTGAGTCCACACGGGTACGCGATTTGAAAACCACAGCTGCTTCGTAGTGATCGTAGTGAATTTTACAGGAAATTCTTTTCAGACTTATGAATCGATTAATGAACGACTGGCACAAAAGACTGGAATAGATACGTTGATTGCAAGCTACAAGAAAGGACATACAGTCACAAATAGCTGATGGTTATCAGTTGAATTGGGAATCTTACAAAATTGATCCTTACGTCACTAAACTTGCTGAAACTGTCAACAATTACCAGGTAAGGGGCTCTTCCCACGTGGCCATTTTTTTCTGTAAACTTAATGCTTACTTGATAACGTACATCAGTCGGAGAGGTGTCAGGAGGGGCGGGATGAGCCCGATCCGGCTGCCTAGCTCTGTCAATGGTGATCGGTTATGACTGAGGCAGGGGGAAAACCACCAGTAACGCCGCGAGTGGGCTCATTCCGTCCCTCGCGAAACTGCCCCGACTGGCGGCGCGACGGTACAAACTGTGCCTAAAGACATATTTTTCAGGAGCGTGTTGAAGATCTGATCCTCATAGCTGATAATATCGAAGTCGATTTGGCAGCATTGGATACATGTCAATACAACGCTGTCACCATCGGTGCACAACTCGCTTCTATACAGAAATCTGTCGATCAACTGGCCCTTGGCAACTATTCAAAATTTGACCGCAAGTTGGGGTAGTAAATTGAAGAAGGTTGGTCATGTTGATAATTGCACTCTGTTGTTAATGCAAGTGCTGAAGACGTAGGTTAAAGGCAGTTGGCACGATAAATCCCCAGAACGATAGTGATAATCGCCTGAGCGCAGAGGAATTCCGCGACCCTGAGCAGGCGCTGCATAATGCCTTTTCCAAGGGAGGTGCCTTTATAAGGGCCCTATCAAGCCACAACATTTACGACCCAAACGCCCGCCCGCCCACAAATGGACGACCGTTCCTGACGCTCGTATTCATTCATTTGCTAAGCAAATTATGAAGCGAAGGGATTGGTATGAAGCGGCCGTGATGCTGCATGCATATATGGGTACACATATGCAGCCGTATCTTCGGTAGCGGTGATTGGCAAGATGCCTACAGGAAACTCGTCCAAAATTGATTTCTAACACATTGAGAACGGAGGCTCTTTCTTCGCAGGATTTTGACCGTTTCACTCCGTTCTTTCGCCATTTCCCCACTATATAGCGCCCTACTAGCATTTTAGGCCGAGCACCAAATCATCGTGCCAACTGCCTTTAAGCCAGACGCATTTTGCTTTTGTTGCCTTTTTGAGCGCATATAGGTCCTGTGTGGCACCTGGTTAACGTCCGACAGCCTAAAATAGCGCTGAATATGGGGATTCGGCATGTAGTTCGGATGGTGCGGCTGGTCTTGGTACTGGGGTGCGTTGATCGTGACTGCCGCTCCTACCGTGTCTGTGCAGGATGTGTGAAAAGAAAATCGTAACTCGCTGCTCGTAGGCGTGGCCTGCGATGTCGTCCATCGACAGCGGCAAGTGGACTGTCCACAGCTGCATGGATGAGATTCTGATGCCGAGCCATTTTCTCTAGTAGAATAAATGCCTGAGCTCGAAAGATGATAAGTTAGGAATTTCAGCTCTTTTTTAATGTGGGACATCTTCCTCTAGCTGCCACGCCCATTGCTGCAGGATGCGCCGCACGTGACGGCGCCGCTATTGTCTTGACCGCCTTCTGTTTCTGCATTGGCATTGTGCGTATTTTATTCTGGGCAACTCGACCACACCACTCGAATTTACAATTATTGCAAAATCACTTCCTTATAACTCACTTCGTGTGACGGCTTGTAAGCCTGTCGATCCGTATTAAGAGGCCGAGGTCTTACGAGCCAACAAATCGAGTAAGCGTTTTATAGGACAGTGATTCTAGTTACTATACTATTCCGCAGTCCAATAGTTGGGTTTCCGAGTGGTACGGGCGAGGCAGTCAAGACAATCGTAATTGGCCGCGCCGTCGCGTGCGGCGCATCGCGGCAGTGGACGGCAGTTCGAGTAAGATGTTCCACAGCAAA